AGAATTGTTACTCAGGGACAGACAGAATTGTTACTGAGTGCCAGAGAATTGTTACTCAGGGACAGACAGAATTGTTACTGAGTGCCAGAGAATTGTTACTCAGGGCCACAGAAACTTTACTTAGGGCCACAGAATTTTTACTCAGGGACAGACAGAATTGTTACTGAGTGCCAGAGAATTGTTACTCAGGGACAGACAGAATTGTTACTGAGTGCCAGAGAATTGTTACTTAGGGCCACAGAAACTTTACTTAGGGCCACAGAATTGTTACTCGCACAGACACAGAATTGTTACTCAGTTACTCAGACACAGAATTTTACTGAGGTTACTTAGGGCCACAGAAACTTTTACTTAGGGCCACAGAATTGTTACTCGCACAGACACAGAATTGTTACTCGCACAGACACAGAACTGTTACTGAGGGCCACAGAACTGTTACTTAGGGCCACAGAATTGTTACTCGGGACAGACAGAATTGTTACTCAGGGCCACAGAACTGTTACTTAGGGACAAAGAAACGCTAGTTACTCAGGGCCACAGAATTGTTACTCAGGGACAGACAGAAGAATTGTTACGGGTTGTTACGCCCAGAGAATTGTTACTCAGGGCCACAGAAACTTTACTTAGGGCCACAGAATTTTTACTCAGGGACAGACAGAATTGTTACTGAGTGCCAGAGAATTGTTACTCAGGGACAGACAGAATTGTTACTGAGTGCCAGAGAATTGTTACTCAGGGCCACAGAAACTTTACTTAGGGCCACAGAATTTTTACTCAGGGACAGACAGAATTGTTACTGAGTGCCAGAAATTGTTACTCAGGGACAGACAGAATTGTTACTGAGTGCCAGAGAATTGTTACTCCAGGGACTCAGGGACACACCCAGAATTGTTACTGAATTGTTACAGAATTGTTACTTAGGCCACAGAAATTGTTACTTAGGGCCACAGAAACTTTACTTAGGGCCACAGAATTTTTACTCAGGGACAGACAGAATTGTTACTGAGTGAGTGCCAGAGAATTGTTACTCAGGGACAGACAGAATTGTTACGGAGTGCCAGAGAATTGTTACTCAGGGCCACAGAAACTTTACTTAGGGCCACAGAATTTTTACTCAGGGACAGACAGAATTGTTACTGAGTGCCAGAGAATTGTTACTCAGGGACAGACAGAATTGTTACGGAGTGCCAGAGAATTGTTACTCAGGGCCACAGAAACTTTACTTAGGGCCACAGAATTTTTACTCAGGGACAGACAGAATTGTTACTGAGTGCCAGAGAGATTGTTACTCAGGGACAGACAGAATTGTTACTGAGTGCCAGAGAATTGTTACTTAGGGCCACAGAAACGTTATTAGGGCCACAGAATTGTTACTCAGGGACAGACACAGAATTTACTGAGTGCCAGAGAATTGTTACTTAGGGCCACAGAAACTTTAGTTAGGGCCACAGAATTGTTACTCAGGGACAGACACAGAATTGTTACTGAGGGGCCACAGAATTGTTACTTAGGGCCACAGAATTGTTACTCGCACAGACACAGAATTGTTACTCGCACAGACACAGAATTGTTACTGAGGACCACAGAACTGTTACTTAGGGCCACAGAATTGTTACTCGCACAGACACAGAATTGTTACACAGGGACACAGAATTGTTACTGAGGGCCACAGAACCGTTACTTAGGGCCACAGAATTGTTACTCACAGAATTGTTACTCGCACAGACACAGAATTGTTACTCGCACAGACACAGAATTGTTACTCGCACAGAATTGTTACTCAGGGACACAGAATTGTTACTGAGGGCCACAGAACTGTTACTTGGGGCCACAGAAACGTTAATCAGGGACACAGAATTGTTACTGAGGGCCACAGAAATGTTACTTAGGGCCACAGAATTGTTACTCGCACAGACACAGAATTGTTACACAGGGAGAACTGTTACACAGGGCCACAGAACTGTTACTGAGGGGCCACAGAACCGTTACTTAGGGCCACAGAATTGTTACTCGCACAGACACAGAATTGTTACTCGCACAGACACAGAATTGTTACTCGCACAGACACAGAATTGTTACTCAGGGCCACAGAACTGTTACTGAGGGCCACAGAAACTGTTACTTAGGGCCACAGAATTGTTACTCGCACAGACACAGAATTTGTTACTCGCACAGACACAGAATTGTTACTCAGGGCCACAGAACTGTTACTGAGGGCCACAGAACTGTTACTTAGGGCCACAGAATTGTTTCTCGCACAGACACAGAATTGTTACTCGCACAGACACAGAATTGTTACTGAGGGCCACAGAACTGTTACTTGGGGCCACAGAAACGTTAATCAGGGACACAGAATTGTTACTGAGGGCCACAGAACTGTTACTTAGGGCCACAGAATTGTTACTCGCACAGACACAGAATTGTTACTCAGGACACAGAATTGTTACTCAGGGACACATAATCGTTTAATTAAAGAGTATGTCAGACAACATGCAGAGGAGTGGCAGAGGAGGCAATGTTTTTAGGAGCGAGCAGACGTGGCAGCAGAGAAGGGGTCGAGGCAGCACTATTCGCAGCCAGAGGCCAGTGCTCCCGGTGTCATCCAGCGGTCGTGTCTCCACCGACAACCCTGCCGTCATCGATTGGTTGGCTCGGTCGTCTTCCTCTTCCCAGGTCACCTCTGACACCTACAGCCAACGGTCGGTGGGTACGTCAGACACAACCGTTAGTTGGCATGGCCCGGGACCAAGCCCCACTGAAATCACGTGTCCTCTACCTGCCCCTGTCCTTTGGTGTTCCCTCACCAAGCGAAGTATCGCATGCTGTGGGCTCAGCCCCACTGTACAGTGAGGAAGAGCTAACAGAGGGCGGTCAGGAACGGGGGGAGACATCCGCCTTTTCAGCAGCTAGGCGAAGAAGAAGTAGTGGCGAGGAGAGTGGCCCGGTAGCCGGTCTAGAGACAGGTCTGTCTCCTGACCCAGACGCAGCCGAGGGGGCTAGTAGTGAGGCGGAGACCCTACTTGATGATGAGGAGGGTTGATCGCACTTGGCAGCCTCGTCGTCATCAGGCAATTTCTTCCGCATCATCAGGAGAAGAGGGTGGCAGCTTGGCAGTGAGCGAAACAGTCGGTGGGTTGCCCAGGAGACAGCAGCAGGGTCGCAGCAGTGTCAGTGGAAGCAGTGTCAGTGGAGCCAAACGGCCACGGAGTAGAGCACCAGCTCCACTGCAGCCTACCACCACGGCCAGTAGTGGTGCCGGTGTGCACGGAGGAAGCAGCAGTCAGCCAGTGAGGGGGTATCGGGGGCAAAGTTTCCTACTCGGCGGTGTGGCAATTTTTCGTCAAGCCGCCCGAGGAAGTAAACGTAGCCGTATGTCGACTATGTGGCCAGAAAGTTCAAGCGTGGCCAGGGGGCCCATGTTGGGACTATTTGGGCCATGTTGGGACAATGGGAGACCTCCCATTTGCTGCTGTCTCCATCGCCACACTCTGCCATGTGCCACTTTCAGGTCTCACACACTGCTGGTGTGTTGAATTTTTTGACATAGGGTGCTGGCAGATTACGGGCCTCCCATAGCTGCTGCCAGGCCCCTAAATCTGCCATAGGCCCCTATATACCGCCTCCTCATGCTGCTGCCAGGTCCAGAGTCTCTCATGGGTCCCTGTACGGCCTCCCATTGCTGCTGTCTCCATCGCCACACTCTGCCATGTGCCACTTTCAGGTCTCCTCACACACTGCTGGTGTGTAGAATTTTTTGACATAGGGTGCTGGCAGATTACGGGCCTCCCATAGCTGCTGCCAGGCCCCTAATCTGCCATGGGCCCCTATATACCGCCTCCTCATGCTGCTGCCAGGTCCAGAGTCTCTCATGGGTCCCTGTACGGCCTCCCATTGCTGCTGTCTCCATCGCCACACTCATGCCATGTGCCACTTCAGGTCTCCTCACACACTGCTGGTGTGTGTGAATTTTTTTTGACATAGGGTGCTGGCAGATTACGGGCCTCCCATAGCTGCTGCCAGGCCCCTAATCTGCCATGGGCCCCTATATACCGCCTCCTCATGCTGCTGGTCCAGAGTCTCTCATGGGTCCCTGTACGGCCTCCCATTGCTGCTGTCTCCATCGCCTCTGCCATGTGCCACTTTCAGGTCTCCTCACACTGCTGGTGTGTAGAATTTTTTGACATAGGGTGCTGGCAGATTACGGGCCTCCCATAGCTGCTGCCAGGCCCCTAATCTGCCATAGGCCCCTATACCGCCTCCTCATGCTGCTGCCAGGTCCAGAGTCTCTCATGGGTCCCTGTACGGCCTCCCATTGCTGCTGTCTCCATCGCCACACTCTGCCATGTGCCACTTTCAGGTCTCCTCACACACTGCTGTGTGTGAATTTTTTGACATTTTTTGGGTGCTGGGCTGGCAGATTACGGGCCCCTCCTATAGCTGCTGCCAGGCCCCTAATAATCTGCCATAGGCCCCTATATACCGCCTCCTCATGCTGCTGCCAGGTCCAGAGTCTCTCATGGGTCCCTGTACGGCCTCCCATTGCTGCTGTCTCCATCGCCACACTCTGCCATGTGCCACTTTCAGGTCTCCTCACACACTGCTGGTGTGTGTGAATTTTTTGACATAGGGTGCTGGCAGATTACGGGCCTCCCATAGCTGCTGCCAGGCCCCTAATCTGCCATAGGCCCCTATATACCGCCTCCTCATGCTGCTGCCAGGTCCAGAGTCTCTCATGGGTCCCTGTACGGCCTCCCATTGCTGCTGTCTCCATCGCCACACTCTGCCATGTGCCACTTTCAGGTCTCCTCACACACTGCTGGTGTGTAGAATTTTTTGACATAGGGTGCTGGCAGATTACGGGCCTCCTATAGCTGCTGCCAGGCCCCTAATCTGCCATAGGCCCCTATATACCGCCTCCTCATGCTGCTGCCAGGTCCAGAGTCTCTCATGGGTCCCTGTACGGCCTCCCATTGCTGCTGTCTCCATCGCCACACTCTGCCATGTGCCACTTTCAGGTCTCCTCACACTGCTGGTGTGTAGAATTTTTTGACATAGGGTGCTGGCAGATTACGGGCCTCCCATAGCTGCTGCCAGGCCCCTAATCTGCCATAGGCCCCTATATACCGCCTCCTCATGCTGCTGCCAGGTCCAGAGTCTCTCATGGGTCCCTGTACGGCCTCCCATTGCTGCTGTCTCCATCGCCACACTCTGCCATGTGCCACTTTCAGGTCTCCTCACACTGCTGGTGTGTGTGTAGAATTTTTTGACATAGGGTGCTGGCAGATTACGGGCCTCCCATAGCTGCTGCCAGGCCCCTAAATCTGCCATAGGCCCCTATATACCGCCTCCTCATGCTGCTGCCAGGTCCAGAGTCTCATGGGTGCCCTGTACGGCCTCCCATTGCTGCTGTCTCCATCGCCACACTCTGCCATGTGCCACTTTCAGGTCTCCTCACACACTGCTGGTGTGTTGAATTTTTTGACATAGGGTGCTGGCGATTACGGGCCTCCCATAGCTGCTGCCAGGCCCCTAATCTGCCATAGGCCCCTATATACCGCCTCCTCATGCTGCTGCCAGGTCCAGAGTCCAGTCTCTCATGGGTCCCTGTACGGCCTCCCATTGCTGCTGTCTCCATCGCCACACTCTGCCATGTGCCACTTTCAGGTCTCCTCACACTGCTGCTGGTGTGTTGAATTTTTTGACATAGGGTGCTGGGCAGATTACGGGCCTCCCATAGCTGCTGCCAGGCCCCTAATCTGCCATAGGCCCCTATATATACCGCCTCCTCATGCTGCTGCTGCCAGGTCTCATGGGTCCCTGTACGGCCTCCCATTGCTGCTGTCTCCATCGCCACACTCCATGTGCCATGTGCCACTTTCAGGTCTCCTCACACTGCTGGTGTGTTGAATTTTTTGACATAGGGTGCTGGCAGATTACGGGCCTCCCATAGCTGCTGCCAGGCCCCTAATCTGCCATATAGCCCCCTATATACCGCCTCCTCATGCTGCTGCCATGCCAGGTCCAGAGTCTGTCATTGGGCTGTACGGGCCTCCCATTGCTGCTGTCTCCATCGCCACACTCTGCCATGTGCCACTTTCAGGTCTCCTCACACACTGCTGCTGGTGTGTAGAATTTTTTGACATAGGGTGCTGGCAGATTACGGGCCTCCCATAGCTGCTGCCAGGCCCCTAATCTGCCATAGGCCCCTATATACCGCCTCCTCATGCTGCTGCCAGGTCCAGAGTCTCTCTCATGGGTCCCTGTACGGCCTCCCCATTGCTGCTGTCTCCATCGCCACACTCTGCCATGTGCCACTTTCAGGTCTCCACACACACTGGTGTGTGTGAATTTTTTGACATAGGGTGCTGGCAGATTACGGGCCTCCTATAGCTGCTGCCAGGCCCCTAATCTGCCATAGGCCCCTATATACCGCCTCCTCATGCTGCCAGGTCCAGGTCTCATGTCTCCCTGTACGGCCTCCCATTGCTGCTGCGCCACACTCTGCCATGTGCCACTTTCAGGTCTCCTCACACACTGCTGGTGTGTTGAATTTTTTTGGGGTGCTGGCAGATTACGGGCCTCCCATAGCTGCTGCCAGGCCCCTAATCTGCCATGGGCCCCTATATACCGCCTCCTCATGCTGCTGCCAGGTCCAGAGTCTCTCATGGGTCCCTGTACGGCCTCCCATTGCCATGTCCATCGCCACACTCTGCCATGTGCCACTTTCAGGTCTCCTCACACACTGCTGGTGTGTTGAATTTTTTGACATAGGGTGCTGGCAGATTACGGGCCTCCTATAGCTGCTGCCAGGCCCCTAATCTGCCATAGGCCCCTATATACCGCCTCCTCATGCTGCTGCCAGGTCCAGAGTCTCTCATGGGTCCCTGTACGGCCTCCCATTGCTGCTGTCTCCATCGCCACACTCTGCCATGTGCCACTTTCAGGTCTCCTCACACACTGCTGGTGTGTTGAATTTTTTGACATAGGGTGCTGGCAGATTACGGGCCTCCCATAGCTGCTGCCAGGCCCCTAATCTGCCATAGGCCCCTATATACCGCCTCCTCATGCTGCTGCCAGGTCCAGAGTCTCATGGGTCCCTGTACGGCCTCCCATTGCTGCTGTCTCCATCGCCACACTCTGCCATGTGCCACTTTCAGGTCTCCTCACACACACTGCTGGTGTGTTGAATTTTTTGACATAGGGTGCTGGCAGATTACGGGCCTCCCATAGCTGCTGCCAGGCCCCTAATCTGCCATAGGCCCCTATATACCGCCTCCTCATGCTGCTGCCAGGTCCAGAGTCTGTCATGGGTCCCTGTACGGCCTCCCATTGCTGCTGTCTCCATCGCCACACTCTGCCATGTGCCACTTTCAGGTCTCCTCACACACTGCTGGTGTGTGTAGAATTTTTTGACATAGGGTGCTGGCAGATTACGGGCCTCCTATAGCTGCTGCCAGGCCCCCCTAATCTGCCATAGGCCCCTATATACCGCCTCCTCATGCTGCTGCCAGGTCCAGAGAGTCTCTCATGGGTCCCTGTACGGCCTCCCATTGCTGCTGTCTCCATCGCCATCACCACACTCTGCCATGTGCCACTTTCAGGTCTCCTCACACTGCTGGTGTGTAGAATTTTTTGACATAGGGTGCTGGCAGATTACGGGCCTCCCATAGCTGCTGCCAGGCCCCTAATCTGCCATAGGCCCCTATATACCGCCTCCTCATGCTGCTGCCAGGTCCAGAGTCTCTCATGGGTCCCTGTACGGCCTCCCATTGCTGCTGTCTCCATCGCCACACTCTGCCATGTGCCACTTTCAGGTCTCCTCACACACTGCTGGTGTGTGTAGAATTTTTTGACATAGGGTGCTGGCAGATTACGGGCCTCCCATAGCTGCTGCCAGGCCCCTAATCTGCCATAGGCCCCTATATACCGCTCTCCTCATGCTGCTGCCAGGTCCAGAGTCTCTCATGGGTCCCTGTACGGCCTCCCATTGCTGCTGTCTCCATCGCCACACTCTGCCATGTGCCACTTTCAGGTCTCCTCACACTGCTGGTGTGTTGAATTTTTTGACATAGGGTGCTGGCAGATTACGGGCCTCCCATAGCTGCTGCCAGGCCCCTAATCTGCCATAGGCCTATATACCGCCTCCTCATGCTGCTGCCAGGTCCAGAGTCTCTCATGGGTCCCTGTACGGCCTCCCATTGCTGCTGTCTCCATCGCCACACTCTGCCATGTGCCACTTTCAGGTCTCCTCACACACTGCTGGTGTGTTGAATTTTTTGACATAGGGTGCTGGCAGATTACGGGCCTCCCATAGCTGCTGCCAGGCCCCTAATCTGCCATGGGCCCCTATATACCGCCTCCTCATGCTGCTGCCAGGTCCAGTCATGGGTCCCTGTACGGCCTCCCATTGCTGCTGTCTCCATCGCCACACTCTGCCATGTGCCACTTTCAGGTCTCCTCACACTGCTGGTGTGTTGAATTTTTTGACATAGGGTGCTGGCAGATTATGGGCCTCCTATAGCTGCTGCCAGGCCCCTAATCTGCCATAGGCCCCTATATACCGCCTCCTCATGCTGCTGCCCAGGTCCAGAGTCTCTCATGGGTCCCTGTACGGCCTCCCATTGCTGCTGTCTCCATCGCCACACTCTGCCATGTGCCACTCAGGTCTCCTCACACACTGCTGGTGTGTAGAATTTTTTGACATAGGGTGCTGGCAGATTACGGGCCTCCCATAGCTGCTGCCAGGCCCCTAATCTGCCATAGGCCCCTATATACCGCCTCCTCATGCTGCTGCCAGGTCCAGAGTCTCTCATGGGTCCCTGTACGGCCTCCCATTGCTGCTGTCTCCATCGCCACACTCTGCCATGTGCCACTTTCAGGTCTCCTCACACACTGCTGGTGTGTAGAATTTTTTGACATAGGGTGCTGGCAGATTACGGGCCTCCCATAGCTGCTGCCAGGCCCCTAATCTGCCATAGGCCCCTATATACCGCCTCCTCATGCTGCTGCCAGGTCCAGAGTCTCTCATGGGTCCCTGTACGGCCTCCCATTGCTGCTGTCTCCATCGCCACACTCTGCCATGTGCCACTTTCAGGTCTCCTCACACACTGCTGGTGTGTAGAATTTTTTGACATAGGGTGCTGGCAGATTACGGGCCTCCCATAGCTGCTGCCAGGCCCCTAATCTGCCATAGGCCCCTATATACCGCCTCCTCATGCTGCTGCCAGGTCCAGAGTCTGTCATGGGTCCCTGTACGGCCTCCCATTGCTGCTGTCTCCATCGCCACACTCTGCCATGTGCCACTTTCAGGTCTCCTCACACACTGCTGGTGTGTAGAATTTTTTGACATAGGGTGCTGGCAGATTACGGGCCTCCCATAGCTGCTGCTGCCAGGCCCCTAATCTGCCATAGGCCCCTATATATACCGCCTCCTCATGCTGCTGCCAGGTCCAGAGTCTCTCATGGGTCCCTGTACGGCCTCCCATTGCTGCTGTCTCCATCGCCACACTCTGCCATGTGCCACTTTCAGGTCTCCTCACACACTGCTGGTGTGTTGAATTTTTTTTTGACATAGGGTGCTGGCAGATTACGGGCCTCCCATAGCTGCTGCCAGGCCCCTAATCTGCCATAGGCCCCTATATACCGCCTCCTCATGCTGCTGCCAGGTCCAGAGTCTCTCATGGGTCCCTGTACGGCCTCCCATTGCTGCTGTCTCCATCGCCACACTCTGCCATGTGCCACTTTCAGGTCTCCTCACACACTGCTGGTGTGTAGAATTTTTTTTGACATAGGGTGCTGGCAGATTACGGGCCTCCCATAGCTGCTGCCAGGCCCCTAATCTGCCATAGGCCCCTATATACCGCCTCCTCATGCTGCTGCCAGGTCCAGAGTCTCTCATGGGTCCCTGTACGGCCTCCCATTGCTGCTGTCTCCATCGCCACACTCTGCCATGTGTGCCACTTTCAGGTCTCCTCACACACTGCTGGTGTGTAGAATTTTTTGACATAGGGTGCTGGCAGATTACGGGCCTCCCATAGCTGCTGCCAGGCCCCTAATCTGCCATAGGCCCCTATATACCGCCTCCTCATGCTGCTGCCAGGTCCAGAGTCTCTCATGGGTCCCTGTACGGCCTCCCATTGCTGCTGTCTCCATCGCCACACTCTGCCATGTGCCACTTTCAGGTCTCCTCACACACTGCTGGTGTGTAGAATTTTTTGACATAGGGTGCTGGCAGATTACGGGCCTCCCATAGCTGCTGCCAGGCCCCTAATCTGCCATAGGCCCCTATATACCGCGCCTCCTCATGCTGCTGCCAGGTCCAGAGTCTGTCATGGGTCCCTGTACGGCCTCCCATTGCTGCTGTCTCCATCGCCACACTCTGCCATGTGCCATGTGCCACTTTCAGGTCTCCTCACACACTGCTGGTGTGTAGAATTTTTTGACATAGGGTGCTGGCAGATTACGGGCCTCCTATAGCTGCTGCCAGGCCCCTAATCTGCCATAGGCCCCTATATACCGCCTCCTCATGCTGCTGCCAGGTCCAGAGTCTCTCATGGGTCCCTGTACGGCCTCCCATTGCTGCTGTCTCCATCGCCACACTCTGCCATGTGCCACTTTCAGGTCTCCTCACACTGCTGGTGTGTGTAGAATTTTTTGACATAGGGTGCTGGCAGATTACGGGCCTCCCATAGCTGCTGCCAGGCCCCTAATCTGCCATGGGCCCCTATATACCGCCTCCTCATGCTGCTGCTGCAGGTCCAGAGTCTCTCATGGGTCCCTGTACGGCCTCCCATTGCTGCTGTCTCCATCGCCACACTCTGCCATGTGCCACTTTCAGGTCTCCTCACACTGCTGGTGTGTAGAATTTTTTGACATAGGGTGCTGGCAGATTACGGGCCTCCCATAGCTGCTGCCAGGCCCCTAATCTGCCATGGGCCCCTATACCGCCTCCTCATGCTGCTGCCAAGTCCAGAGTGTGTCATGGGTCCCTGTACGGCCTCCCATTGCTGCTGTCTCCATAGCCACACTCTGCCATGTGCCACTTTCAGGTCTCCTCACACTGCTGGTGTGTTGAATTTTTTGACATAGGGTGCTGGCAGATTACGGGCCTCCCATTGCTGCTGCCAGGCACGTAATCTGCCATGGGCCCCCCCGTACCGACTCCTCATGCTGTGTGACGTTGCAACAAGGTGGAATTCAACCCTACATATGTTAGACCGCCTTTACGAACAGCGAAAGGCCATCACCGATTTCCTGATGTTAAAAGCGGATAAAGGTACTCCCTGTGTAACTTAGATGTCAGCCATTGGCAGCTCATGCGTGACACCTGCGCTTGCTCAGGCCCTTTGAGGAGGCCACGCTATTCGTGAGTCGGCAGGACTATGGGATGAACGACGTCATTCCTCTGTTGCACGTCCTGGAACAAATGCTGTTAACAATGGCTGGTCAGGGTGCGGTAGACGTGGCGCACAGATCTCAACGCCACATGACCCCTGTGGGGGCAGGACAGGAAGAAGAGGAGGAGGTAGAGGAGGACATTGGTGCTCAGGAATTATTGAGTGAAATGGGTGGTTTTTCCACTCAGCGGACAGGAGTGGAGGAGCAGGAGCATCTGGTAGAGGAGGAGGAGGAGGAGACAGAGGACCCAGACGCACCGTGTGGCAGTATGCTGTGGAGATGGAGGCAGGGAGTCCCTCGCATTCCTTGGCACAAATGGCCCATAGCAGCATGCTCGGTTGCTTGCGTAGCGACAGCCGAATAATAACCATCAGACAGAGGGATGACTTTTGGCTGTCCACCCTTGTTGGACCCTCGCTACCGTTCAAAAATGGTGGCCTTTTTCACACCTGCTGAGAGGGAGGCCAAAATAACGTACTATAAAAACCACCTATGTAGTCAGCTGGTCTCTGCCTGTCTGCGCCAACGTCCATCCTCAGACACTGTGGGCCCTGTGCGCTCGCGTTCCGCTGCCATGGCAGCAGGGGAGGGGTGGGGTGGTAGGAGGAGTGGGCAGCTCCACCAGCAGCGGCTGCCTCAGTCTGCAGTCGATGATGAGTAGCTTTCTTCACCAGCGCAGTGAGGAAACTACTAACCAGCCGCAGCAGCAGCAGCAGCAGCAGCAGCAGCAGCAGGTGGACCTGGAGCAGGACCTCAAACAACAGGCTTAGGCCTACTTGGACAGCACCCTGCCAACCGAGGTAGACAATCCCCTTGACTACTGGGCAACGAAACTTGACCTTTGGCCCCAACTAGCTGAATTTGCCCTTGAAAGGCTGTCATGCCCGGCCAGTAGCGTGGCATCGGAGCGCGTGTTTAGTGCGGCAGGAGGTATTGCAACTCCGCGGAGGACACGACTGTCCACCCAAAGTGTGGAGAGACTGACGTTTGTGAAAATGAATCAGGCGTGGATTAGTCTGGATTTCAAACCACCAGTTCCTGACACAACTGACTAAATCCGCCATGAATCATGCCCCAAACATGTGCCACTTTCAGGTCTCCTCACACTGCTGGTGTGTTCCATTTTTTGTCATAGGGTGCTGGCAGATTACGGGCCTCCCATAGCTGCTGCCAGGCCCCTAATCTGCCATGGGCCCCTATACCGCCTCCTCATGCTGCTGCCAAGTCCAGAGTCTCTCATGGGTCCCTGTACGGCCTCCATTGCTGCTGTCTCCATCGCCACACTCTGCCATGTGCCACTTTCAGGTCTCCTCACACTGCTGGTGTATTCCATTTTTTGTCATAGGGTGCTGGCAGATTACGGGCCTCCCATAGCTGCTGCCAGGCCCCTAATCTGCCATGGGCCCCTATACCGCCTCCTCATGCTGCTGCCAGGTCCAGAGTCTCTCATGGGTCCCTGTACGGCCTCCCATTGCTGCTGTCTCCATCGCCACACTCTGCCATGTGCCACTTTCAGGTCTCCTCACACTGCTGGTGGGTTCCATTTTTTGTCATAGGGTGCTGGCAGATTACGGGCCTCCCATAGCTGCTGCCAGGCCCCTAATCTGCCATGGGCCCCCGTACCGACTCCTCATGCTGCTGCCAGGCCCGTAATCTCTGTCATGGGCCCCTGTTGTCGCTTGTTGGCATATTCCGCTCGTTCAGATGCTCCTTCTCCTGCTACTCCTCTTCACGGATTCCGTCAGCAGTCTTTCTTGGAATCCGTTTCCAAGAGACAACAGTTTGCGAGCACGCACCAGACGGTGCAGAAACTGAACGTCCTCCTGTCCAAGTTGCTGCTGCCAGGCTCGTAATCTGTCATGCGCCCCTGTACCGCCTCCTCATGCTGCTGCCAGGTCCAGAGTGTGTCATGGGCCCCCGTACCGACTCCAAATGCTGCTGCCAGGCCCGTAATCTGTCATGGGCCCCTGTACCGCCTCCCCATGCTGCTGCCAGGTCCAGATTGTGTCATGGGTCCCTGTACGGCCTCCCATTGCTGCTGCCAGGCCCGTAATCTGCCATGGGCCCCCGTACCGACTCCTCATGCTGCTGCCAGGCCCGTAATCTGCCATGGGCCCCTGTACCGCCCTCCTCATGCTGCTGCCAGGTCCAGAGTGTGTCATGGGTCCCTGTACGGCCTCCCATTGCTGCTGTCTCTATCGCCACACTCTGCCATGTGCCACTTTCAGGTCTCCTCACACTGCTGGTGGTTTCCTTTTTGTCATAGGGTGCTGTATGGCCTCCCATTGCTGCTGCCTCCACCGCCACACTGTGGCTCCACACTCTGGTTTTGGCCCCGTGACTGCCCAAATGAGTGAAGTGTGCGGTGATTCTAAGATCGACGGCACTCATCTGCATGTCATACTGCCTGACAGTATTATTTCTCTTCCCCAGCAGACTCCAAGGGCATTTAAATTAAAGGTACAGTGTTCAGCACTAATATTAAGTCTGATTACCAGAATGGATGTCCCCACTGGAAAATTCCCCTGTAATCCTTTTCCATTGACAACTCAAAATTTAAGATTTTCTTTTACTTTTATTCTCAGAGTTAACAGTCACTAGATCAAATAGAGAGGGTGAATCTCCCCAATGGGGGCACAGACAGCAATACAATAATGACAGGTGTTCTAATCCATCTCCACTCTATCCCAAAAAAGGTTTGCCTTTAGTTATACTTTAAAGCTGGCCATCGAAGGTTCAAATTTCAGCAGGGACCGGCTGTGATTTGAACCATGTAGGGGCAGGCTGCTGGATTTTACATGAGATTATCGCTGGTGGCTGTTATAGCTGCTAGCAATAATCACTGTATTTTCCTAATGAAGACAGCACCTACCTCCCTTCCGGGAAACACAATGGCTCAGCTGGAGGGATTCCCCTGTCAACACTGCAACCCCTGGTTGCATGAAGGAAATTTGCACCCTCTATGGCCTGCATAAGTCCTGATAATTAATCAGTGTGCAGCTGTTAACAGACAACAGAATATAGAGCGGAAACTACCTGTGTAGCAGAGGCGTAGCTAAGATATTTTGCGCCCGGGGACGAACTATAAAATTGGCGCCCCAACCCCCCTCCCCGTTTAATCACATTTTTCTATTACATTGGATAAGGAAAAACTATTTAAATTTTAATGAAACATTGTATTTAAAGAAGCAAATTTATAGAAATTATATTACATGACTCACTCAGTCACTGTCGTAGACTGGTTTACATTTTTTTTCTTGATTTCACTGTCGCAAACTGGTCAATCACGTAATCAAAATCTGTTTTTTCCAATGTTTCTCTTTCAATGCTAAGAAGAGCAAGATCGCTGAGACGATCCTGTCTCATTGAAGACGTGCAGACGGAACCGGCTGTACGCAGAATCCGCATCTCAGCTGGCTGCAGTGGCTGGCAGGCAGCATCATCACTGTGGATGGCAGACGTATCAGATGATACGTCTGCTGCAGCCGCTGCAGTGATCTTGTGACCAATTTATTACCCTTTTTCACTTATTATAATGTAACGTTATAAGCCTCATTTCGGTGCCCCTGTACCTTGGCACCCGGGTACATATGTACCCCCCCCCTGCCCCCCCCCCCCCCCCCCCCCCCAGCTATGCCTCTGCTGTGTAGTAAGTGTATACAACTTTCATAACAACTTCCCATGATTGAAGAATTTAGAAATGAACAGAGCTGGCTTGCATTACAGATCAGATGTGTCGGAACTGCTCTAAAATATGTGGGTAAGGCAGTCGACCGCTACCTGTTCACATTTCAGTCACTTTGGCTCATTGCACATGTATAATTATTAATAATTACAAGAAGACATGCAATGTAATACATCAGAAAGATTTGTGTGCCTGGCATGCTGTGGGTAAATGTTTACAAGATGTTCCCTCGTGTTTTATCAGACCATCTTGCAAATTAATATTTTGCAGGTACAGGACCCATTTCAAAATCAAGTACCAAACCCAATTTACTCACGTATAAAAATGTGTACTGCTTACCATATACAGTATCATAATTCTAAAAGCTGTTCATAAAATTACAAAGATGCTCTCTTTTTGGATTCAGTTTTTAAATGATTCCTCTGGAGTAATTTTTGCATCCCTGTATTGTTATGATACAGTGCTGGAGATACTGAAAAAGTATATTTTTACCTATCTAAGTAAACATCTGAGATTCAAAACCCAACTCCAGCTTCCCAACTTCATGTTTGAGTGCACTTACAGCACTCCCCACACTCTTATTTTTGTTTTTTTCAATTCTATATACAGTACATACCTTTTTCAGGTGCCTTTGATTTTGTGTTCTCGTCCTCCAGTGGGGAGATCCTGAATGAGGCCGCATTCTCCTGTAAGTCCAATGATGCACTTCTAGATACTGGGTCCTTCACACCCAGAGCTCACAGGCAGTGTAATGAGTG